TATTTTATATTACAAGTTCACATTGGAATTTTAATATAAGACAAAAAATTTGGTCTAAAATGACATTTATTATAAATAGGAGGGAGTATGTTGTACGAATATATTTTGTGCAGGGTCGAAGTCATGCATTATTGATCAATGACTAGAATATGGTTTAAGTATATCTATCAATGATCTATTATCAGAGAAAAAATCATCAGATACTTTTTGTTGTAAAATTTGGTAATCAATATCTTCTAAACTCTACTCTATGATTTAACTATATATAAATCCACGATATATTATCCTAAAGAAAGGTCATAATATATGTCTACTTATACAATTGAAGAAGCTGTCGTGAAGGAAAGTCTAAAATGAAAAGCATTGCACCTAAACATATTGATGTATTATAAACAAATAACACAAGATGGAGAGTGAGACGCGTACCTTGTAGTACACGTTTGTAGACGTGAGGGAAGTCAGCAAGATAGCTAACAATGAAAGTACATACGATACTTGCTGTGTCATGTCCTCCGACCAACAATCCAATAATCTTATCCGCGACATGATCATCTTTGGTCTCTCCTATACTCATACACATATGAGATAGAATGTCCTGTTCCGCTGATACTTTCCCGGCCTTCACCTCTTCTTTCCTTCTCCTCATGATCGCGGAAACCTCTTTTCTGAGTAACCTCGACGCCTTGATGGCTCGGTTAAACCGTGTTCCTGGAAGGTTTATTGGGATTGATAAGACACCAGTCGCCACCCTATTGAATGGTTCTCCTAGTTTTCTTATTCTTTCCGGGTCGTCCATGCTCAGAAACAAACGGCATGCTATGGAAAACGTGAACCTGCTTGAGATTTTATTGTTTCACACGTCAATTTCTGTAATTTCAATTGTATTTTAACATTTAAAGAAAATTCCTATTTTCTTTCCATATGCCTGCGTCTACAAAATATAAAAGCTCGTTTTAAAAACAAATACATATTTCTAAGATTTCAGAGAAATGGTCTGTCTTTTCCATTATCACATAAAAATTTGGTGTGATTCGAGCTAAATTTCCTAGGTTTTTTTGTATTGATTCCACGCTCTTTATATCTTAAAGTCGATTGGTTGGACCGATTAGCATGGTCTAGATCGATTGAGTTCCTTTATGTACGCAAATCACCTCTATATTAGATTGGGTAACCAATAGTCGAAGTTAATTTTAATGATATGATTGGTGATAAAAACAAAAAAAGACAGAAATATTTATGTTTGCAAACACATGCAAGAGGAAACACAAATATATAAAAGAAGATGAGATGCACATTACATACTTTTTGGTAAGAGGTAAGACAATAAGCTGATCTTGATTGGCCCATTCCGTCTCAAAATGTCTATGAGCAATCTCATCCATAACACCTACATACCTCCTCAAACCCTCAGGCTTTAAGAACGGCAAAAGAAGCATCCTCAGCTTTTTGGCTTCCTCCTTGGAACTCGTCTCCATTGAAGAAGGGAATATCTTATTCACGGAATCTGGCCACCACGAGACCACGAGCTTGTTCTCGTTGGTGAATAGAAACTTGTTCCCGGAAGCACCAGTCACCACCGCGGTGGGAGACCCAAATATGTGGGTCTTGAATACATCTGAGGAGAAGCGACCAACTCGGTCAGTAATGAACTTCTCTTGATGGCCTTGACGGCCGGCAGAGAGGAAGGAAAAACTCTCTCCGATTAAGGGAAAGCCGATCTTTCCCGGAGGAAGATTGGGATACGAGAAGTTTGATAAATATTTTTTAAGAAGGAATAGGAGAGAAAGAAGAATGGAGCTGATGAAGAGGAATATGATTGCAAGATACATACTTTTAATTTTGTTTTCGGCTTATTTTACTTTTGTATTCTTGAGGTTTTCTATGTTGTTGGGTAGACAATTTATAGAGGTACGTGAGTTTGGGTTTGGGGTATAGTACTAAAAATGCTTTTGATTTACTTTCCAGTTTCCACTCTACAAAAACTGACATAAATGTACACCAAGCCGATTCAAGTTTCAACTAACAAGTTTTGTAGTAAATGACTAAATGTCCATTAATCAAATTAACGTTGGTAGGTGAGAATATTAATCACTAAACGCTCTTTGATAAGGATTACATTATTACTAGGTGATCAGCCCGCACCGTGTGCGGGTATGAAATTTTTTAGCGAATTACATTAATTTTGATATTTAATAAAATGATTATATCATTTATAAATATTAAATATGCATCG